AATCCCCCAAGTAATAGTGAAGATACGGTCTTGATAAGTCCCAGTACTTAAGAGACAGACCGTGGGGGTATAGTGGGTTGCGGTGTATTGATATGGGTCAGTTCTGGGGTACGTTGGGCGCGAGCGACGGTTGCATTATGTACTATACATTTGATGTTTGACTATTGTAGGTGATTGGCCCCGGACCAGCCAATCACCATGCACAAAGGGGAGGCTCGTTCCAACCCCTTGATATTACTGTTCTGGCTCACCGCCCTGCTCCGCACGGGCCACTCGGCCCAGGGAGCAACCACCCGTGCACTCCACCGTTCCCGAATAGCTGACCGCCCAGGCCACCATCTTGGGACCATGACAACCAAAAAGAGCAAGCGAGCGCCCCGATTATGCCTGCCTCCCATGAGGCGGAGGTGTCTGTGCTAAGCAAGCGCGGACCACCGGGCGATGGAGGGATCCGAGGGCGCTGACGAAACCATGGCGTACGGGCCCACGCACCACAAAGTTCCATCTCGGCGGGGGAAGATCGCTCGGTAGACTCAGATCCCCGGGGCGAAACATCCCCGGATGGCAGGGAATCAGAAGCTCCTCCACCGCAAGAGTTTGGAGAGATGGGAACCCATGCTCAGCCAATCCGGCGTGACGATGACGGCTTCCACGGTGGGCCGGACAGCAAGGAAGGAGACGAGCCGGGGAAGAAGGCACCATGGGGGGTTGCACCAGCTGGTGTCCCCTATCCAGTCTTGGAGAAAGGCGTCCGTCCCCATGCTCCCCACATCAGATGTGGGCTCCCCACACAGATTCTGTGTGTAGGTTGTTGTACCTGGGACATAGAGTATTCACCGCGGAAGCAAAGTGGTCCCAGGTTTGGCGATTGAAATACCACTTTAGCCAGTGGAAGATGGCCGGATGTAGTTGGTAGTCGTTTGCCACCCGTATCCGTGACAGGCGGTCCGGTATGACATTGTCCGCTAACCAAATGTAGTTTGGGTTGAGCAGGAGGTGGCGTGCCGTACAGACTTGGTGGAGCTAGCGGAGGGGGTGGAGGAGCTACTTGGAATGGGTAGTCATGCTACGGAGGCAATACATGACTACTTGGTTGTTGATGAGCAGCTTGAGCCTCGAAGGAAGGCCACAGGAAGCAGTGGGAAAAAACTGGGTATGGCCCACTTCACCACTTGCATCTCATGCACATTGATGTGCTTCAAGGAACGGTCCCAAAAACCCCTCACAAGGAGGGGGCGAGACGCACTCAGAGGGGAGAAAGTGGCCCCCCAACTAGTTAGACTGGCATCGGTGGCCAGGGTGCCGGCAAAGGGGACTGCGCCAGGTTTGAGAGGGCGTCCTTCATAGTGCCGAATGTTGCCCCATGCCTCCAAGTCCAACCGGGCTTGGTGGGTGAGGATTAGTCGATCCCTCCAATTGCGCTTGGACCGGAGAACATCATAGAGGCTTTGCAAGAAAAATCGAGCCAACGGGAAGACCAAATGCAGTGAAATGGCTAGGCCTCAAAAACGGGCCAAATCCCAGGCCACAACCCAGCGAGAGGACCTCAAGGACTTGGCCTGCACCGCCACTAAGGCTGCCTTCTCCGGAGGGACTTCAAAACGATAATGCGCAGTGTCCATAATCACCCCCAAGTGTTTTTTCTACAAAACCGGAGTTCATGGGTATTTGCATTCCTTAAATTGAATGCCCAACGAGGGAAAAACACCTCACCAAACCGAATTAGCAAGTGAAATGGGCAACATCACGCATAGCCGCCAAAAAATTATCGAGATAAACAAAGAGAATGACCGGAGGTTCCTTGGTGTAAATCCTAAAGTCATTAGCTATTGATTCATCCCTTGCTAATTGGCCAAAATAGGACTGGCGAGCTGCTTTGGTGCAGCTGCCCGTGGACCTCAAGAAACGGCCCACTACAAACATGAATCGAGTAAAAAAGAATGGGGCCAACGAGAAACCAAACGGAAGGGCCCAACAAGCAAACACCTTGTTGCCCATCCGAAATTGGAGGAAACATTCTTCCGCCTTACACATTCGCAGGTGATGATAGGCATCCTTGATATCAAATCCCACAAATGAGTCATTCCCGTTTAGTAAGTGACCAAGGTCATGCAACTTCTTGTACCGAAGGCCCACCTTGTGAAGGTGACGGTTGACTCGTCGCAAGTCCATGCACATGTGGTACTTCATGACCCCATCCACCTGCCCTTCTCCACTAGGAAGGTGCAAGAGATCTGTGAGGTCGGACTCGCCTCCACCTTGATGATCGCTCCCGATGCGAGGTACTCCTTGCAGATGGAAAGCCAGGCTGCCCACTCCTCTAGCGATCGGAGCACGTAGGATCCCTCGTCGAAGGGAGCCGGAGGTCCACGCGGCCCCCAAAGGAGGGGGGTCCTGGAATGGATCCATTGTAGGACCCGAGAAGGCGAGTCAATCTGGCGCCATGTAGAGAGGCGCCCGCGGACCCGGTTGTACAGGAAGTCCTTCACGGGGATGGCTTGGGGGATGCGCCCGGGGCTCGCGCTCCCTTGTGGGACTTGGGGCCGGTCGATGGGGCCGAGATTGATGGGGAGGAGGCGGTCTTCTTGATGGCCGCAGTCTTGGTCACGTGCTTCAGCTCTTGAGTAAGAACCTCCTTCCGCATGCGCTCAATGGTCCCGTCGACTCGCGCCGTCCTGAAGCACAGGCAACGGTCGGCGAGGCGGATCTCTGCCTGAATGGCCCGCCATGATCCTTCCAATCCTGAGCCCTTGTGTTTCGCGTGGATGCGCTGCAAGGAGAGTTGATTGTGGAGGGCCTCGGTGACCTCCACATACGAGTACAGGTAGGGGAGAAGGAATTCCCGTATGTACGCCGGGAGATCCGGATGGCCGGCCACCTCCACGAAAGCCGCAGTCATGTTGAACAGCCAGGAGACCGGGGGTGCCCAGCCCACGTACTCATGCAAGTACCTGGAGTTCGCGCCCAAAGCATTGGTGACGGCACTCCCCTCAGCGTTGTCGCAGACGTCAAACCAATAAGGGAAGCGGGCGCCCACTGCCAGTGGGCCATTGGTCGGGCTACCGGGTTGTTGACTGACTGGGGGAGGAGCGCCGGGTCGGGCAACCAGCAGGCTTCGATAGTGGAGCTCGGAATACGGTTGTTGAACTGGCGAGCTTGGTCCTGGCACCACTGCTCAGCAGGGGAGGGGCTCATAGGCAAGAGCTTGGCAAGGAGCCAGAGGTCGAGACCCACTCTGTGGGTCCGGGTTGTGCCAAGGTTTGGCGCGAAGCAAAACAAGATAAAGTGGGGACCGAGGGGTAAGTCTAAATAGCGTCCCCCGCTCATGCCCACCAAAGCCCATCACTCCCAAGGGTGCCAAAAACCTCTGGCCCTCCTTGAACGCGATAAACTGGCCATTGACCCAAGGTAAGGCGGGACAAAAACCCCGGGGGCCGCCAAAACAGCCATACTTAAGAGGCACTGGTCCAACAGGAGTCAACGCGGCCGCCCCTCGTCGCTCTGGGTGGAAACCCATTAACAAGATAGTTAATCCCATTATCTAATGTCATCAATATAGGCAACCCGAACAGTGACGATATGGACATTTTGCATATTGCACTTGTACTTTTGCATTTCCTGTGGCATGCTTAAATGAATATGTCGCTTCTAGGCTCAACCCCAGTCATTCACGCTGAATGCATTGCGTGTTGTATCACACATGGTGTGCAGCATGTGCTTTGAATTGTTGTGTCGGAATGTGGTTGTTGCCAGAGCTGGTTTGCGACGGCTGGTTTCTTTTCACAAGAGAGACAAGAGCTTCGAAATGCATCATATGGGAAAAGTGTGGACTCGAATGTGCAATAAGTTTCAACTAATGGGCAGTTGCGGGGAGGGACTATCGCTCAGCATATTAGCGCTGTCGTTGAGCTCCCAACAAAAGTGCTGTTATCGGTTCCTCGATGAAGTCAAAGATCAGGCGCCCAGTTATCGGACAACTGGGACACCGATAGTATATCATGGTTGACGGCCACGGCATGTTAGAAAAGGGTATCCCGCACCGTATTCAGCAGTACAGTAAACACAGTGAGTGCTACATTTCTGGGCCCTGTCCTGTCTCTCTTGTGCGCTGATCTGTCTTACTTTTACTCCGGGGCGATGCGACACACAACTGTAAAATTGGATTTTATAGATATGGCCAGGAAAAGCAACAAACCTTGACATGCAGCACACACAAAGTCTTCTTGGCAGCCTAGCCTATATACTAACTATGTCACTTGCATTGCACTACGCCTAGGTGTGCACCTCCATCTTGTCCGCAAGAAATTCACGGCAAGATGTCAGGCCGCCAGTGGGCAGCTGAGAGCAGAAAGGACCGAGGTGTGTCGCAACTGCGGCAGTCGATGGCTGAGCACCTAGTGCCCAACAACGGAGGCGTCCCCTTGAGCTCATGCCATATCATCACACCATCCATTCGATGCATCAAGAAAGGGCCAGACGCCAACCGCTTAGTGGGGTTCAAACTGCGAAACCACATAAGTGTGAGCTTTCTTCGGGACGTTGACACGGCGCCGACATTGTGTATCCGCAGAATCGAAAATCGCAGCTCAGGGGCTTTCATATTCAGAGTCATCTTCTTGCCCAGTTACTGCTGCTGACGCAGTGGGAGTGACTCCATTTGCGGCATTCTTTGCACCATTTTCTCGCTTCTTGCGCTCTTCAGTCTGCCTCTGGACCTCCATCAAAGCTCCAACGATTTTGAACACAGCTTGGAGCTGCTCTGTTCCCTCCGGGACGAAGCTGCTGTCTCCGACCTGGCCAACAATTACATCAAGTCTGGGTTCAGGCCCAAGCCTCACATGAGAAAAAGCAAGCACATGGCGAACACCTGATGAAGGCAAACATGTGACCATGCATAACACATAACCCATGCCCTGGCCCCACCAGATCCCCCCCCCCCCCCCTTCCTCCGTGCGCGCCCCCTTCTCATTTTTCTCTCTCAAGAGAATGCTGAGGACCAGCCACGATGCACAACAAAAGTGGTTTCTGCCAGTAGTTCGCACTTCATGCGTACATATGCAGCACCAACCGCTGCATACCCCTCCCCCCTTTCTTTTCATAAGGAATCTGCCAATTTGCGGCTGTTGTTTCAGGCAGCGGTCTATTGCACAGCAAACATGGCGTCTAAACCGTAGCCAAGTGCTCCTGCACTCCACACCAAAACGCCACGGCTCCGATGCATGTGCTGTTCGATGCAAATACTATATTGAACACTTGCAGCAAAGAGGGGGACTCTGCGGCTACTTACAGCTGCCCTCCCTTCATCTACTCCTGGCTGCACACATTTCAACGACTCCTCGAAGTCCTTCAGCTCCAAAGAACGCACATCTTCGACAGCATCTGTCTGCAAGTTGCCACCTTTCGCACAGTGCTTCCTGCAAGGTTTTCGAAAGACACACTCCATTTTCATCAGTTGGCACACTGTGGGGAACGGCTTGCAACAAGAATACAACAACAGGCAGTGGAACACCGGGATGATAGCAAATACATTATCAACAGATCGTTTATGCATGACGATGAGAGGGCTATTGCAAACTGACATCTGCGAGCATAATTGCGATTGCACGCTCCACGCTGGGCCACCGCCATTGACAATGTCAACATGGTGCGTTGATCAAATTAGCCAGCCATCAACAGGAGCTGCACGGCAGTAACCAGCGCAAACACCTTTCATGATAAGCCAGCCAACACTTGCAGAACCTAAACACATCAGCAGTGGCTTGCATGGCCTGGTCCGCAAAAGTACACTCACTTGATCGCATCCTGCACTGGTCGCTGGGCTGCCTGGGCACAAAGTTCATGTAAATCACTCCCACTAAAAGTTTCCGTCTTCTTGGCAATCCATCCTAATGCAGACAAACCATCCCGTACAGGCCTGCAACAGAGGGAGCATTCTTCATGATGTGCACATCTTGTCAAGAAGGTTGGCAACAGCACACAAACAGGGAGAGGACCAGAAATTGATATGCAGATATGGGATCTGTTATGATGTTCTTGCAACACTTGGCAAAACCAAGCTGGGATCATACAACAGCAGAGAACCGTCAGCACCTCTGCAGTCCCCAAACTTGTGAGTGTATGCTGGTCGATGCACGTACATATATATCTGCACAGTAACAACCTGCTCATGATGCAATTGCACACATCTGAATTGCCAAGGATTTGGGACATCATCTTGAAATAAAGAGTAAAGATGCATATTTTGCACAACAAAAATTAGAAACCAACTTCATCGCCTCTCACCTGTCATCGAGCAGTGTCGAACACACAGAGCCTACCAGCCCAGCTGCTTCCTGCATATGCTTCTCGATGTAACCTCTCACGATTGCTTTCCGTTGGCTTTGGTCGGGCAGTCCAATCTACAGTGACAGTTTCCAAGCCTTCAATAGCACAGCCACATAGGCAACAATGGCTTGGGGGGGACTGCAAGCAGTGTATCTGTTCTCAGAAAGCTGTCTGTTCCTGCAATGTGGGGCAAGGTAATTGGAATGCACATTCTTCGAGACAAAGTAGAAGAGCAATGCAGAAACCAATGTGTGCCAGCGAGCAAACACAATGGAACGACTCAGCACCATTGTACTTCTGTTATTAAGCACAAAACATTCGCTGACCCTTACTTGGCCAGAATGTGGTCATGCCATGGAGCCTTCGCCGTGCAAGCCAGTTGCAAGGCTATTCAACAGTGAAGCACCATGAATGCCTCAATAGATGAAAGCAAGCTACATCAGATTGTGTAGCCAGGAGAGTGTGATCCACACCTGACTCAGCATGGCCAGTAACAATTGCTGAAGAAGATTCTGGGAAAGATGAATCCCTTCACTGCAATCAAAAATACGAACTCCAGATATTCTGGAGGGGCACATTTGTACTGCGCAACTGAACGGCAGGTGTAAGCCACACCTGCACTTGACACTGCACACGAAAAACTCAACCACTGGGGCCGCATAGACATGCTCCAACATCACACCATATTACCAAAGTAATGTGTAGTCTGCGCTTCTGTAAATTCCCTTCTGCACCCCCAATCATTCGACATTAGGACCATTGGAACTCTGCACACCCTGAGCCACCACCTTTGATAAGCGCAGACAGTGCTTGGCCCATATCAAGAAATGCACTCAGAGGATTGACACCTCCATTCTCTCCTCATCCTGCAGCATGGCACGCTGACAAGACGCTGCCATGTGCACAGGCAGTGTGTGACACTCCTGACCTCTAGTCAAACTACTGCACTGCCTGGTGGTGCAGCCAGGCCCAGCAATGGTCAGCACAACCGCCAAAACAGCATGTGCTCACCCTGTACTTCAAGCTGAAGCGCCTCAAAACTGCAGGGTCCAAAGACTCTGGCCTGTTGGTGGCCCCCATGACAAGCACCCTCATGCCCTTCTGTGTCTCCATTCCTTCCCAACACTGCATGAACTCTGTCTTAACTGACAATGTCGCCTCGTGCTCTGTTTGTGAGCCACGCTTTCCCAAAAACGAGTCCACCTCATCTGAGAATGAAGAAAGGTAAGTGTCACAATACAGATGACACCCTGTGCAATGTTCCTACTAACACATTCGAATGCTGTGAGGAGGAGCACAGCTGGTGCAATACAGGGGGACATGACAGTGTCAAGTTATTGATGTGCCCTGGAGATAGCCAAAGTACCCCTGGTCCACAACACCAAAGTGCATTGACACCAATTCACCATTTGAGACACATAATACTCTTACAGGGGAAACCTCAAATATTCTGGATGTACAAGTATCTAATATTGCCTTTAAGGGCACCGATTTGCCACAGCGCCAATGCACAAGGAATTCAACAAAGCTCACTCTAAATGAATCCAATTCGATACAGCCCCGCACTTTCAGCCTGCTACTTCTGGAGACCTCTGGAGTGATACAGCCCAATGACCAAGAACATTGACGCAGAGATGTTGACACAATCATGTCATTTGGCACCCACCAATGAAGATTATGCAGGGCTGGAGCTTCTCAGCCAGTGACCAAGTAGCCCTGACATACTTCTGTGCATCTCCATACCACTTGCTGAGGATGGAGCTGGCAGTAACATTAATGAAAAAGCAACCAGACGACTGTGCCAATGCCTGGAATAAACCACACAAAGCAACACAGATCCACAATGTAAGCCAAGGCGGAGACATCTAGCTCGCTAGCACCAAAGTTTCACACAGTCTGTCAAGGAACAAAGGCAAGTAGTGACCAATATGCACAGTGAACCCATGCCCATGAGAACACTGGCTACTCCTTGAGCACCAAATGCATTCCCCAAGTGGTTCATTAGGGTGTCCAGAATGGCTCTCTGACAAACTGCGTGATCAACCTGCTGAAGCAGTGGATGCACATTTGACCAACAAATGACCTTTGTCTTGTTTCTTAGCATTCTGTGCTCTCATGCTGTTGTGGTGGATGTCACCACTGTTATGCCACCTGACCAAGTGTTTTCCAGGCATTCTGGGGCGTTTGCATCAATTTTTACGCATGCATGGACACAAAGGACACCAAAGTTAGTTTGCAGCTGCATTCTTGCAGTTTGTAGCACTGCACAAGGTGGACATGACGCACTGTGCAGTGTTGAACACGTCAGAAATGGCATAAAGACCAGCAGGCTGTTGCTGCGGTCCTGCTTATGTGCATTTTGGCACTCCAGCGAATCCACAAAACTTCATTCACAAAAATCTCAGTCAGGTGCATTCGTGCTGTAAAATTAGTACAACCAAACAAAGTGTTCTCCGTCCACCGTCCACAGACAACTTCTCAGACATTGGCTGTTTCTTTCTATTCGTATAAGCAGCTGATGAGCCTCCAACTGCAGCATGAAAATGTTCAAGGGAGCACTTTGCGAACAACTGAAACTACACAATATCTATCAGCACATTTTTCTGTCCACATCACCACAGAAGGTGCACGCAAATCTTGTGACAAGGTCAGGTTGTGTTCAGGTTGTGCTTACAAGGAACAAATTCTGGGCCCTACAACTGTGCTACCATGTCACCAACAACAGCTGATTATTGCACAAAGAGGCTCACCCACAGTCCAACCTTCAATCCTCCATAGCAACAAGGGAGATAAACATTATTCACACACACAAATGGAGTTCGTGGTGCTCAAGATACTATGGGCAAAGGGAGCCTGCCATTGAAGCATCTTGTAGTCAGAATCTTGAGTGGTTAACACATTGTATGACTTGTGCGAAGATAGACAACATTGGACTGTCATAGATAGGCAACATAGATAGGCAACATTGGACTGTCAGACTGACAGACTGGTCGCCTCCAAAGCAGGCCATGCATCTCCTGTGGCAGGCTGCTCCACCATTGGAAGACCATCAATAACCACGACATACACATCAGCCACTGGCATAATGCGTGATGAAATGTGCAACAATGCACCCACCTTAGCAATCATGGTCTTTCCTGTTCCAGGAGGACCATAGAGCAAAAGTCCTTTTGCTTGCCTCAGCAATGCTGTTTTGTATACATCTGTCAGCAGCAGAGGGCAGACAACCTTCAGATGCTGCAGAACACAAAAGAGACCCAATGTCAGATGAATGAGGCACAAACCCCGACAACCAAGAGGATAAACTAGAGAAAGCCCAGCCAACCATGCCGTAGAAGAACACTGCAGAATTATTTCTGGTTGTGAGCAAGCAAAGCGAGTGGAGCTCTATAGAGCAAAATCACGATTTTGGCCAACCGCACGCCACCAACTGCTCGCCGCGCACGTATCGCCCCCTCCCCAGGCTTCCTGGCGCCGCGCGCCATGCGCAGATGGTGCGCGGCGTGGACGTCGACTGGCTACACGCCGCCCCTCTTGGGCTTCCTTGCGCCTTGTGCGGCGCACGGCATGGGCGCCGACCGCCCACTCAAGCCCCTCTCTGGACTTCCTTGCGCCTCACCCAGCACGCATGCGGCGCGGCGGGTGGCATGGGCCCCCATCGTGCGCTCATGCCCATTCCCGGGCTTCTTGCACCGGTGCGCAGAGCGCGGGCGCGGCATGGCGTGGGCGCCAACCAGCCTCCCGCCGGATTCCCCCGGGTTTCCTCTGCCGGCGCACGCAGCCTGGTGGCGTGGGCTTAGGCATGACTATGGGGGCGAGCGGGGGGGTCCAAGACACCTTTGGTGCCTGTTCCGGTAATTGAAGGTCCACTTCGAAGGGCAAAGCCCTCACGCAGAGAGGTGCACTCAGTTAGCAAGACGGTGTTACAAGCGTCAGAACGGAGCGAAAAGGCGCAGATTGCCTTTGCTCCCTCGCAGATATACATCCTCACAAATTCATCGTACACACTTATTGTCCAAACCGTTCTCAATCCATCCCACCATCACAGAATCCCAATCCCAACCGATCTAATCAATCCGCCAGCATCGAACAGCTCGTCACACTTCCGAATTACCCTCGTACTGCCGTAAGAGCATCTTTATCGGTCGGTGCTACTGCACCGGCGAAGCTATCCAGAAACGGTTCTCATTGGCTGCCGTGCCACCTTACTAAGGCGGCATTTGCCGAATAGCACCGGTGAAATTGCTCCCTTGCGCACATCCGCAATGGTAGGTGCTATGCCTATGCCGAATAGCATCAGTGCAACACTACAATGTTCTACGCGAATAGCACAGGTGCTATTCGGCCCCGAGTGGAGCTATTCGGGGCCAAAATAGTGCCGCTCGGCGCCGAATAGCTCTGGGGGTGCTATTGCTCCCCAGCCGTTAATAATGGTTTTTTGACGTGCGATGCTATTCGGATAGCGGAATAGCTCCGCCAGGACAATAGCACCCACCAATAAAGATACTCTAACTATGCCCTAGTCCCACGGGCAACTCCCTTGACATCCATTTGATTAACTGTCAACCGGAGACGTCACTCGATCATCGGGGAATCTTCTCCTTCTGATGATGTAGACTGATTCAGTCTTCAGGCAATTTGCAGAAAATTACCACTTCAGGTGCCATGCGCCGTGTGTGCGTGGTCATTTTTTCGCATTACCCGCGCGGTCACAACGCGGTTTCCGTAACGTCTATGGTGAGCCTCCCAAGTGCTGTGTGATCCTGCACCAGCGTGCGGCGCGCGGGTGGCACACGGCGCGGACGCCGGCTGTGCACACGCCGCCCATCCCGTGCTTTCCTTGACCAGCGCGCGGCGCACATTCAGCGGAATGCGCGGCATTGCCACCGACCGGCCACACACGCCCATTCTTCCCAGCTTCTTTGACCAACGCCCAGCGCGCGGCATGGCCGCCGACCGCCTACTCACAATCCATCCCCCCCGGCTTCCTTGATCGGCGCACGGCGGCCGTGGAATAGGTGGCACTTGGGCGAGCGTTCGGCGGTGGCGATTGCCATCGCCCATACCTATGGCTCAAGTCGCATCTGGGAGGGGAGTGGGTGAGGGATGTTGGGGTTGGGGGCAGCCAATGCGGAAAAAATGTGTTCAAGGTGACGCAATGGACGCAATTGTTCGCTCGATGCGATGTTCACTTCGAGCAAGGTGGGCGGCCGCTTGGAGGTGCCTATTGGCGCCTCTTGGCCATAGACTAGAACGAGTGGCGGTTTTGGAAGGTGTGCGGCGGGCGGGGGTATGTTCAATATTGAAAATTGCATCCGCAGCGATTGACCCAATGGGTCGATCGCCGTGGCCTTTCATTTCAAAGAGGCTTGGCGGCCTCGCTGCAACGCTTTGAGGTGTCTCCTTGGCTGCCGATTGAAGCGAGTGGCGTTGGGTGGGGTGAAGTTTGAAAATTCTGTTTGTGGTGATCGACCCGACTGGTCGATTGCCTTTCACTTGAGAAAGGTGTGCTAACTTCCTTTGGGCGGGCGCCTTGGAGCGCAGCTTTGGCACTCGCTCTCGTTCGGAAGAAAGCAGTTGTGGGTGGGTGGTCTTGGGATTAGCCAGGTTTGTCCTGCCTCCCAGGTTTGTCCTGCAATTTGGCACATGAATTGCAGCAAACGTGTGTATGCATGTGCACCACTCAAGCGAGCATGGTTGCACGAGCAATGTGTATTTTGAAGAAACATTGAACAATGTGCTAATTGAACCAATCCCACTTTCAACATGCACACATTGCAAATGCGCTTGGCACGCGTGGCTGTACATGCAATCCAACTTTGCCTATCTTGTTAAAGGGCAGCGACTTGTCATGTTGACAAATGCATGTTCAAGAGGATTTCTGCACTCTGGAACTTGCTCTGTACACTAGATCTCCATAGCATAAGTGCTCTGAGCAAAGCTGGCTTGGTCGATCCTCCCAATGTGCCAACACGCTACGTGTTTTTGTTCATATGATCTGTTGAAACAAACATATTTCACTGCGTGATGATAGGCTTCAACTATATTTGGTGGGTCATAGGCACGCCCCCTTCCCATCTTTTCTACTGGGGATATGTGTTGGTGCTGAAGATGGCTGTGTGGCCAGAGAATGGAAAGATAAATGTGGTACACAAACATATAATCCTTACATTGTAGGCAACATATACTGGGAGAGCTTTGTTGTGTTTCTTGAGAGAAGCAATCCAATGCAATGGTCCAACAATCTGGCAGAATTGTATTTCCTTTTATAAGCTGGTTGCTCACCAAATCCTCTAACAGATTCTCCTGGCCCATGATATCGTTCTCTGTGACATCAATCTCTCTGGGGTTCAGGACAAGATCGGTCAACATCTGCGCACCACAAGAATTGTGTCGGATACAGCACACACATATAATGGACAGTCTCATTCAAGCTAGTTTCTGGTGCACTCTGCTATTTCAATGCCAAGCAGCAAATCAATTTGCAATACCCAGTACCATGAAATTGCGGAATGGCTGAAACAGTATTGTTGAGGAGGAAGAGAACATGCGATGGACAAGCATAACACACATGTGCACTGGTGTTGACGTTCAACGTGAGCCATCTTGACCCAGACAGAGATCGCAAAGATCTGAAACGGATGGGGGCCAGAGTATGGGTATGCTGCACAGTAAAGTGGCACGATCTGGACAGCAGGCTTCACTAACCTACACATAGTAGGTTCGAACACAAACACCCAACTGCTGACTTGGCCTGAAACACAAGATATATCTAACACTTGAACTTGTAACAGACTGGAAACTATCTTGTGGTGGTGGTTTCCTGACATTTTGCCCAACACTGCCACAGGACTGCGGCTCACAACATCGCTGTTGGCTGCATAAATTGGACATACTTGTGGTAGTGCAAGGAGCGATGTGCGCGGCATGCAACCCATGGAGGCAAAGAACCCACCATTTCCATTGGGTTGAGATTGAGTTTCCTTCCAAGGCGTTTCTTCAGCGCCTCAGCATATTTCTCTTTTCTCTGCGCACAAGTGTCCCAAACCAACAATAATTGCAAATGACAGAGCACTTTCACACCTCCATAACCAGGAGATTCTGCAAGGTCGGCACAAATACAGGGTGTGCAGGGTATCGCAGCACTGTCAAGGCCCTCAAGGCTAAACACTAGTCAAGGCTGCAGTAAAAGCACCACCATCCAATTCTCAACTATCCAGATCCAGCTTGTCATTGTCGTGCCTGGATGTTACAGACCAAGTGGCAAAGGAATGCACATGCTCGGGGATGCTCAGTGGCGATCATGGAACCACACTTGTGTAAGCAGAGCTTGCATTCTAGCAGATGTGGTTGATCAGGATGGCTGGCCCACAATGTAATGCAATACTGCTTTCTTGGCATCATACTACGTGGATACTACTGGATATAGTACGAACAATGCCTGGAGTTGGCAGGGTGCCTTTGTTGCCAGAATGTTCCCATGGCTAGATTCTGCAACAAGCAAGATCACAGGGGACCTGCACCAGCACTATGCCAACCGCACCATATGTTCTGCAGCGCGGTTTCGTGGTCAAGTTCCTATTTATGGTTCCACCGCAGCTAACGGCAGTCATGTCAGGTGCTGCGGTGTTCGGGGGAATTTCCACATTGATGTATGGGTGACAGCTAACATACTGCATGCAGGCTCTCTTGTTTGCAAGATAGTCCAAAGGCAGGGACAAGGAACGCCTGGATAATGGTAATCACGCGTTCGTAAACCGTTGCAAAAATATGGATGTAGTACAATTGGTTGCTTTGCACGATGGAAGCAAGCATGTTTTCGCTGTCACCCTCTCCCTGAAGAACAAGGACTGTCCCCAGAACTGGAGCCGATGGCCAAAACACTGAGACTACAACATCGCCAGTATCTGCTGCTCGCAGCTGCTGGACCTGGCAACTACTTCTAGTATGCGAATCAGCACCCCCAAACAACTGGAAACCGTCCCCAAGGCCGAACAGCATGTATCTATTTTCGGTCCTGGGATGCGAATTTTCTGTCCATGTATGGACAAGAATGGAACAAACTGCTTGCAGCGGGAAGGGTAGCAAGACGCAGTTGCAGACACATCGCCAGGGCTCAAACAGAACGGCCTGTGTTCCGGGTACACTGCACTGACCCACAGGTGCCATGACGCCCCATTTCACCCTCATGCCCGCCTCCGCACCTTGCGCTCCTCCCTGTTGGGGTCCAGCATCGACGCTGCGAAGTACACGCAAACCACCGCACCCACCATGCTGGCGGCGATCGACACGAGCTGAGCAGCCGAGGCATCGCAAAGGGTCAGCGACGCCCGAAAACTGCCCTAAAGCTGGGAAGCAGCGCAAGGAGCTGCGCTGCGCTTCCACCGCGCACGCATCTGGTCACCCTCCTCGACAAAAGAAGGAAAGGGGTTTGGGGGGCGGGGGGGGCTGGAGCGGCACGGTGGCCGCACCGGGAGCACAACAGACTTCATGGCGGAATTTCGATTCCCGTGTTGACGTCCGGGACAGGCAAAAGGCTACGCGCTGCTCGCCTGCAGCAATGGGCCAAATTTCCGTCAACAGCGTTGGGAGCAGGCTCCAGGTGTGGCGCCTCACCTCCGTGAAGAGCGTCGCTTCGCGGCGAAACCCCATATGCGGCGATAGACGGGGGCTGGCGCGCCCCGGCGGTTGGCGGTTGGCGGTTGGCGTCTTGCGAGCGGGTGCTATCTGACTCAGCCGGCCTTCGGCAAGCGGCGCTCTTAGGCGCAAGGGGTGAGGGAGAGGTTGCTTTGAGGGGGACGACAGCCAACAGCTGTCCAACACAAACCCACAGCTCAGACAACAACTAGACGCGTGCGCAAGGGATGGTTTGTTCAGGCTGAGTGTGTGCGTCGTTGGCTCTACGAGCATCCTTATCGGTGGGTGCTATTGTCTCGGTGGTGCTATTCGGCTATTCGGATAGGGTGATTATTTCTTTTTGCGACAGTGCCAAACTACTCTCTTTTGTGACAATAGATTGTTCTTTTTTGCGACAGTGAACGTAACTAATTCACAGCTTGGGAAGGCGGTGGGGCCTTTGAACCAACACGCCTACCCACCACCTGCCACCGGCCGCTACCAGCCACTGGCGTTGTTGTTCGCAACCCGAGGGATCATTGTTCAACTTCCTTGAACTTTACGCGCCAAATTTGTGCTTGACTTAGGCCTGGGTGATGCACAGGGCCGGGCGGCACCAATTGGCCACTAAGTTATGCAAAGTGTTGAAATGCCGCCAATGCCAACCCGCCGCAGGTCGTGGCTCATAAGGCATGCCCCCACCCGATAGTTAATATTGGCCGCGTGTGATAAGAATTATTGGCTTGGGGCGTCTTTGCTCTTTAATCTCCAGACCTACCTCACCGGGAACCTGGTGGCATAAGGGCCATATGACCATTGGTTTTGGGCTCCATGGCCTTCACCAAATGGTGCTCGGGGAAGGGGTGGAACAAACTCCTTTGCCGGGATGCATTGTTACGCACATTGGCCTGTTGTGGGGGATGCCCTACTAATGGCTTCTTGGCGTGGGGGACAGGACGGGACTTAAGATGAGTAGCGCATACTAGAAGTGGCAACTCAAGGTATTTCCAGTATTGTAGATAAGAAAGAAAGTACCGGAGAGAGGGCGCCGTGTTGGTCAACACAGTAAGCTATGAAAGGGATAATCCCATGGGACCATTGGGGTGAGTCAGAATGGGACATAAGCCTAGCAATGCACCACAGGTAGGGCAGGTTAGTTGACTCAGCCGTGAGGTGAATAGAGGTTAAGTAGATGAACGGATAGGCGTACGAATTCAAACAGCACCAGAACATTCTGGCAGCAGCCATTCAGCTGCCTAGTTGTCAACCTTGGGCAGCTATAAATACGAGGCCAAATAGTAATAATGTAATGAACAAAGTTACCGTTCTTTCTCTCCGTGTCATACCACCAACTCTCGAGTTGAACGGGACAGAATGGGTTATGCCCCGGCTGGTGTGAGCACTCGCATTAGGTTGCCGCCCCTTACACCTGAACTATTAAACAATGACTGGACCAACAACCCACTCGGGTTGTATAACATGGGAAACAAGGAATATTGTTTTGAGGCAACTGGAAGTGGAATTGTGAAGGTGGACAATAATGGTGGTCACCAACCGCTTCAAATAAACAACATTGAGGACTTGGAGGACTATGCCCCTTGCTAGAACATGATTGATAACCCCGACAACTCAGCACCTTGCTACCCCAATATCGAAGACAGAGAAAGAAGATTTATAGAAGTGGCCCGCGATCCTGACAACTTTGATGACTCAATACCTGTGAGGAAGGAGGGGGATGAGCCATGTCATCCTGTGCCCAAAATAAATGTGAGGAATGAGGAACCGCCCGTCGTCGAGGAGCTGCGAGGATGTGGCAAGCAAAAGAGCCAGCTGAAGTCACACCTAACCCCTGGTTGTAGTGGAGAGCTTGCAAAATGATGCAAAAAAATAGCATGCAAGAAAAAGAGTATGGCAAGGCGTTACAATAGTGATACGATAGGCCAGAGCGGCGAATGTGGATGCACTAGCATGGGGTCAAGATGTCAACCATTGACCCATGACGCCTGACCTTTTAGTCCAAACGACGAGGGCAGAAACCGGGATGAGGGCGACCACCACCCTCTCCCAACGTGGCGCCCAACAGTGGGGGACAGATCTGTAAACCCGTGCCCTATTTACAGGGCTGGTGGGGGCTTTATTCACCACCTTGCGGCTCAATGCCACAAATCCCAGTCGCCCGATGGCCAGCCTAATGCTCTGACGCCAGGCACCCAGGATGGCTCTCCAGATGGCCATGTACAAGGAGCCAAGCTATT